ATGAAAGCTTCTATGAATTAACAGTTTTGTCTCTGTTGTGCTTTTAAACTTGACTTCAATGCTATGTACTTACAGCTTTTAAAAAGCAAAGCTTTTAAAAGAAAGCTTTTGACTTTTTGAACAAAAGTTTTTTAAACATGCTATTAATACCTTTCAGTTCGTCTGATACTTAAAAAAATCAAGAAAAAAGGAGATTCTTCAGGAAAAAAATAAATGAAACTAACACCACAGATATTAACTTGTCTTTACTGAAGTTTATTACTGCATATCACTGTTTTATATGAATTGTACTGCCTTTAGCTAAATACAGCCTATTTAACTGCCTTTTAAGAAATATGCAGTATATGAGAAAAATAATTTTTAAAAAATAAGAAAACACATAAAAGAAATTATGAACTTTAATTACAAAGGGCAAACAACAAAGTAAGCCCTAACCTCAAAACTATAATCAGATTTTAGGAGGTTGGGTTGACTCTACAGAGTAGAACAGAGCTTTTGCTTTTGCTTTTTAGACTTTCAGAATAATGCTACAAAAGTACATTGCTAACCGATAAATCACTTTAGATAATGGCAGAATTATGTTGTTAGCCAAGAATGAAACAGTAGATATTTTAATCTCAAATTTTAGTTGTCATTTCTGTCCCCAAGTAGAGGCAGTTTGATAATAATTTCCATCATGGTGTTATGATGGATGCTAACACAAGAGTTGAGAGTTCTCAGCCACCTCTCGTAACTTCTCCAGAGATACAATTTATCACTTAACACTCTCGTGTAATTAACTCTTATTGTTTTATATTATACAAAAAGTTTAAAACCTAAGCAGTGCCTTGCTGATAGATCTCTGGCCCATCTAGCTCCAGCAATTGATTCTCATGGTTAAAAATCATGGTTAATGATTGCAGAGTTCCAATATTTGAGGGTCACCTACAAAGACGAGGAAGTCAAACTATTTTCCAAAGCACAAAAAGGCATGACAAGAAACAATGGTTGGAAACTAACCAAAGAGAGAAGCAATCTAGAACTAAGGAGAAATTTCCTAAGAGTGAGAGCAATTGTATAGGGTCTCCTGCTCAACCAGGAGGTTGGACTAGAAGACCTCTGATGTTCTTTCAAACTCTATTATTCTATGTTCTAATGATCTTTTCTGCTACAGCAGTGGTGTCGAACCTATGGCACACGTGCCAGAGGTGACACTCAGAGCCCTCTCTGTGGGCACGCGCACCATTGCCCCAGCCCCACCTTCCCCAACAGCCCCCTCCTCACCAGCAGCACCCCTGGAGGAGAGTCGCCCCTGACCGCAGCCCATGCGGAGCAGCATAGCCAACGACATGGCAGCTGGGTAGCGGGGACAAGACTCTGCCCTCATGCCCCATCATGCGCAGTTGATGCTGTGGGGTGCGGGCGGAGGGCGTGGCCACCATGGCACTGCTGGGTTGCCTGGGTGATCTGTGGCAGGCCATGGAGGCGGTGAGTGGCCCTGCGGGTGGGTGGGGTGGGGGCGGGGCTGGGCTGGGCTGGGCTAGGGGCAGGGTGGGGGAGGAGCAGGGGCAGAGCAGAGGCAGTTTTGGGGCACTCGGTCTCTAAAAGGTTCGCCGTCACTGTGCTACAGTATATATACACATTGTATAGCTTCATCTAACTGAACTCTAGCAATGTATGCTCACTTCAAGGAGAAGAAACTTTGGATCAGGATAATGTAAAATGGTGCAACTGCAAATGGGGTGTACTCCGGCTACCTTTTCAATGTGGCAAATAATTTCCTTTCCTAAAGCAACCTTTTCTTTGTATAATAGTCCAGCCTTTATAGAAGAAAAGTTGCTTAAAATAAGTTCCATATGAATAAATAAACAGTTAATTGATACCTTACCTGTTTTTATAGCTCCTCTCTAAGCATATGTTTCCAACTGCATATGCACTGAAATAGTTAATATTGATTAATTTGTTGGGATAAATATTGTATATGTATCAATTCTTGCAAAGATAAATAGGTTACTTACATCCCAGTAAGAAAAATTTACTCTGAATTCAGCATTTTAGATTGTCTGTTTAGTGACTTTTCATTTTTCATCATCGTCTCTAATGATCATGATTGTATAATTGAAAGTATGATTGTTATACGTAAAGACTGTCCAATACACATTTGTTGAATTCCTTGAAGTTTCCACCTGTTACTAAAGCTAAAATAATTAATAACAAATAATAAATTACTTTTAAAAATATTTAAAAATATTTACAGCTATGCAAAGAGGTTGATTTATTGATTAGAGCATTGTTTAGGCTTTTATTTCATTTATATGCATGGTCCTATATCTCAATATGTTCAGTAAGTATTAAAGAGTTCATATTTAAAAAAATCTTAAACTTTTCTATGCTGATTTTGTAAAAAAAAATTTCCTTTTTTCTTGGAATCATGATCTTATTTCCTTTCAGGTTGGAACATAATTTGCCATCAGGAAATCCATTTTAGGACACTTTACTCTAATTCCCAAATATCTTACAATTGCACTTTCCTTTTTTGCTTTTCCTTCTTTAAACAATCTCAGCCATACCTTATTCAGATATACACATGTAGTTTTGTGCTTACCAGTAGTTATGTATTATACATATTTACACTTCATTTGTTTAAGTGGAATTTTAAATATTACTTTATATCAGCTAATTCCATCCATATTAGAATTTGATTCTTAAGTTCCCAAATATAAATTAGTAGTAGAATTTATTTATCAAGATTCAAAAGAAAGGATACATTTTCCATGGTTTTATGTGTATATATACACCAATAAAATATTTTGCTTGGCTGTTGTTGTATATACATGGTTACTGGATAATTTATCAAGTCACATTATCCGCCAGTGTAACTATATCGAAATATGTTTTTGAGTTCAAATGACGTTCCTGAGATATATGGTAATAACTTCCTTGCAGAACATGCTGTAATTCTAAACCTGAAAAGAAAATATATTTATGGAAAGTAACTGCTGGTAAAGATAAAAGATAAAGATAAAATGTAAAATGTCTATCAGAACCCTTGAAAATATATTTCCTAATGTTGGAATTCTTAACTTCCCATTATAAATTGTGGGTCTGAATTTTTTTTATTTATCTTTTTTTTTTTTGCCTTTTTCCTCCCCCCAAAGTAGGTAGGTCTCATCTATAGTGTCATTATCTGTTGTTTTATATATCCACAACTGATAATTAAAGACCACACTTTGACCTATAAATAAATGTTTTTTCATATCTATTGATTTGGTATTTTTTAAAATAGAAAATGGTAGAAAGGATTTTTTACATCTGAAAAGTAGGTTTTGTATGAGTTATGACTAGTTTGTCTGCATGCCTATATTTGCTGCTGCTCCTTGGGCATGAATATCATTGGCTTGTGGACTTCCATGCGGTTGTAAGTTGTAGATCTTTTCACTTGGTCAGGGTTGTTTTTGGCAGTTGTGGGACTCCTCCATAACTTTCTCACAACAGCTGGCTGCCTTCTTCCAAGGGATTTGTTTGGCTGACAATGGAAAGAATCAAACTGATGCCACATACTGGGGTCTGAGCCATTCAGTTATGCCACTGGACATCAGTACTGTGTGCAGTACTACTCTCAGCCAACTCTCAATTGTATCACTGGACACTAGCTGTTCATTGAACATTTGTGGTAATTGAGCATTACACAGCCAGTCTATGGATAGCAGTAGTGTCCAATGATGTGATCAAGAAACGTCTCCCCCCAAATTGTAAAAGAACTTAGGCTAGAGAAGTTAGCATGACAGGTTAGCTGTGAGTAAGGTGATTCCTTCTGTTATCAGCCAGCTGCTGCACGAAAGTCACATGGAACCTCGTAACTGGTCAGACCCAGAGACACCTTACGTAAATTCAGGTATATTACACAGACAATCACAACAGAAGAAAGAGAGAAAAGGTGCTTGTTGGAGGAAGAAGAGAATCATATGTTCTGGAACCTAATCCCTCAATTTCTATATATCCAAGTTTTTGTTCTTTATTTGCAGTGTTACACTGGAACTGATGTCTCAAGGGACACCTGAATGTAAAAGAAGTCTTAAGGCTTTATAAAAAAAAAATTTCAATGAATGGAAGATGGTCATAAGTTATCATGTTAACATATTCAAACTGTGGGTATTACAACAGTGAATTGAGAAATTATCTATAAGATTCTGTGTAAATAAAAAAATTAGGTTGATACATTGTTTTCAGTTCACATAAAGGATTTCTTGGGAAAATTCATTCAAAACTGAACCAAATAATTCGTTGTCTCCCTTATTTCGAAAAAGCCTTATCTATCATAACTGAATACAGTAATGATAATTATGTAAACCTAAGGCTTGTCCAGTAGGTCTAGTAAAATAATACTGGTTTAATGCTATGCACCAGTATTCTAAATTAACTCAGAATATTTTATTAACATAACTTTGATCACCTATGCCAAGAACACCTGCAAAAAGTAATAATAATAAACACCTGTCATATGCAATAAAATGATGAAGACAACCTTGTAGCCCAGTAGAGAAACTGAATATGCAAGGAGAATGAGTAAGAACTATAGCTGAATAGCACATTATTGTTGAAATTTAGAGGCACAATGACTGGGGAGTGCTAGATTTATTTATCTCTCAGAAAGTAGCACTGTAGGTAGACAGCAAATCATATCATCTAATTAAATTTTATCTGTGCTTTATTTTGTTTATATTTAGTATGCTTAGCGTGTTTCAGAAACATTTCAAATTTAAACAGGTGTCCGTTAAAATGATAGATTCAAATTGATCTGTCCATTTTATTTTTGTGCAACAAATCTGGCAAAAATATGATTGAATATTTAAAAAAAACCTGAACAACCTGTAAATTGAGCATCTTTTAAGCACTTGTCAGATTTTAAAATATTTTTAATGTACACGTTTTCGTGCATATTGTTAATATAAGATGGTAAAAATCAAGAAAGAAAACAAATTGCTTATGTATTTTTTTTTTCTTTTCTTTTTTGTTTGTAGTTGACTTGCCACTGTACTTTCCTCGGGATCAGCCAACTTTGACATTTCAGTCTGTCTATCATTTTACAAATAGTGGAGAACTATATTCTCAAGCCCAGAAAAACTATCCCTATAGTCCACGATGGGATGGCAATGAAATGGCCAAAAGAGCAAAGTAAGTTATATTTGGGTGAAATAGTTATGATATATGCATTTTTGAACAAGCTTAGTGATTGTCAGATTTGTTTACTTAAACATGATTTCACTTCTTGGGTAATTATTGATATCCCTCTACTTTTATTATCAGTTTATTATCAATCCAATATTGTGTAGTAACTAATCAATTAAACTTCCAGCTCCAATTATATCTCTGCTATTACCATCAGAGATAAAACTTTCCTATATTTCAGTGGCACAAAACTACCATTTTATTACTGCCTGGAATCACTGTGTAGCTGCCAAGACTCACCTTGTAGGGGAGGTAGGTGGTATAGAAATTTAATAAATAATAAATAAATAAATAAAAATATTACTCTACAACCACAGTACTTGCTTTCATGAGTCACTTGGCCTCACGTCTGAAGGTATATCATATGTTTTGCAGACAGCTTTCTCTTTTTCTCCTAAGTCATTTCAAGTTAGCCACTTAAAAGACTTCTGTGCTATACTGATTTATGTATATTGTTCAGCAATCTCTAATTCATTGTTCTTTCAACACTTCTGCAATCTGATGATTGTATGTAAGGCACCTTTATACATTTGTCCATCCTCTAATATTTATGCCCTTTGTTGCCTTATTTTCTTTTCATTTTTCTTGGGTTTTTGAAGTCATTTAGCAAAGCACTTGAACCCTTGATGTGAAATGATGCAAACAGTTACTTAGCAATAACACTAGGAACAATAGACTTGTTGAATGATGGTATAATGAGGTAAATAAATATAATTTCATCACTGCCCTATAGGTTTGGGCACAAAAGAATAGAAGAAACCATTATTTGCTAATCTGAGCCAGTGAGATGATTGCTGAAAACTCTAAGTCTTTCAGAAGTTCAACATACTTGACAAAGGAAGAGTGCTTTGTCTGGAATAAGTCAGGATTTTATAGGTACCTTCACACCTCTAAATCAGCTCACAGTTTATTGCTAGAATGCTAGCTTTTTGAAACAAGGAAAAAAGTATTTCTCTTAAATGTTGGAAGGTCTATAATATTCCATTGGAAATAGGATGCAACAATTTGAATATATAAACTCTTCTGCTCAAATATACTTATGAAGTAAAGAGTCTATAGAAAGTTTTGCTGCAGACAACAGTACCGAACTAATGAAAATTTCTGTTGGTCTATATCACAGGTCGGCAACCTGCGGCTCCGGAGCCGCATGCGGCTCTTTGAGCCTTCCCCTGTGGCTCCCAGCCTCCTCTGCCTTTGCAGAGAGAGACAGAGACAGAGAGAGGCAATTGCACTTCCCTGCTTCTCTGTGTGTGTGTGTGTGTATGTGTAAAAGAGAGTGCACTCACAGTGTTCTCCGAGGAGCTGAAAAGCTTTCTGGGCGGAGCTCCTCCCTTTGCTGCGTCTCTGAAGGAAGCAGGAAGGGCAGGAGAGAGCTAGCTAGCCCAGTTAGGCTGACTCAGGAATTCTGGGAGTTGAAGTCCATGAGTCATAAAAGAGACGAGGTTGCCTACCCCGGAGGTTGTTGGACAACAGCTTGAAGCTTTCCAGGTGAGCAGCAGATAGGAGGGGGGGGGGGAGAAAGAGAGAGAGAGAAAGAGAGAGAGGGGGGGAGAGAGAGAGTGGGGAAGAGGAGTGGCAGACCAAGGGCAGATAGAGAGGGAGGGAGAGAGAGACCCTTTTGACATCTAAAATGAAGATAACACTGCATATATCCTTTTTTACCTGTGTGTGTATGTAATTTTATTCTCTTAAAGCATTCTCTTGGTGATCATTGTTTTAATAGTATGGATATTCCCAAGAGTCATATTTTTACTTTTATTTTTAATGTGTATATGTGTGTGTGTGTATACACACATACACATACACACACACACACACACACACACACACACATACACATACACACACCTATAATAAAGGTAAAAAAGGATATATGCAGTGTTATCTTCATTTTAGATATCAAAAGGGTTTTGCGGCTCCCAGTGTTTTGTTTTTGGTGGGAAACGGGTCCAAGTGGCTCTTTGAGTGTTTTGGGTTGCCTACCCCTGGTCTATATGTATGTACCACTGGTTGAAAAGCCCTGTTCTAAGGTATTTATATAGTTGTTACTCAGAGTAGCAAAAGAATGGAATATAAATCAGTATTGGTTCTGAATTCTTCCTTCATAGATAGGACAAATGGTAGGAATTCATTGAAGGGCCTTAATGAGTTTTTTTAAAAAAAATATTTTGAGTAAAAATATTTCAGTATAATTTGGTTTCCCTGTTGAATATAGCAAAATTCTTGGTTGTCCCTTTCCAAGTTTTATTAAATTTCACTTAAATTCCACACACAGATCTTTCAATACAGTCACATTCAGAAATTGAAATGTAATGAACTAAGTACTCATTTTTTGGGATATAGATATCCTCAGACAGCATTTTTTCTTTTTCAAGATAATCAACGCTAGTAAAATGAGTTTCATGTTTATGAAAAGCACATTGATTCTTGTATATCAGATTTTCACAGCAAAAAAAATAGCTGTTTGAAAACCAGGACAAAGTGAACTTATGGAAAGTTTTTTTTTTCCAAAGAAATACATTGGTGTTGTTGCTATCTGCTAAGAATGGATAGAGAAGAAGAACAAATGAGAAACATTGGGAGGGGGGGAGATCTTCCATCCATCCCACCTCCTTATTTCCCATGTGATGAATGGAAGGGAACAAACAAACATAATAAGCAAGCTGGAAGAAAGATTTATCAGTCAGATTCAGAAGGAGAAACCTATTCATTTCTTTCTTGTTTGCCAAAGGCATCTAGCAAGTACAGAAGATCAAAAATCCCCTCCCCGACTTTCTCTTCTTATGTAATGTAAAGATAGACCAGAATAAGAAACAGACTCAGTATAGACATAAAGCTAACTTTATTGGAACAGCTATAGTCACAGAATCCTGCAAATGTCAATGTACTTCCCTTCCTCATTTTTTTAACTTCATGGGAATTAACTGGGGGACAAGGGAGGAGGCTGTCTGAGGCAGTTTTGTAGCATACTTTCAAAGGCCAGTCTAATTTTCCTGTTTGTCGCCATGGTACTGGTCTTCCCTCTGTCCTTCAAAGCCATCTCCACACCCACCAGAAAACAGCTTGCTCAGTTCTTTCCCTCTCTCCCTCTCTTGGCATTAGTGATAGCTAGTCAAACATCAGAAAAGGAATGTTATCTTCATGCCCAAATGTCGACACCTTAGAATCTTCTCATTGGCCATTAGGAGAACAGATGGACTAAATGCTGGATTGATTTGTCCTTGAATGGAGTCTATCTTGCCTCCTCTAGCTGTTAGGACAAATTTAATCCATAAAGCAAATTTAGGATTACATCCAATAAAATTGGTGGAAAGCCGACATAACCAGCATAAAGGAAACTGCTGATTTTGTTAACTCTCTTTTTCCTTCTTCTTTGCTTCTACCTGAAGAACTGGAGCTGAATTATATTATTGGGGGGGGGAGTCTGTGCTTTTTCTTTTATTAAGTTATGTACAGCCTTGATTTGAAAGTATTATTTCTGATCTCAGATTTGAGTACATTAACCACGTTAGTTTTTGTGCAGTGCTAGTTTGTGGTTTTATTTCTAATTTGAATTGCTATCTTTTTGATAGCAATTTGATATTCAAGACTATGGATGATGTAACACAGAATCACACACACACAAAAAAAAACCCCAAGTGAACTAGGGTGTTAAATTCTTATTGCATCTATCAATTGTAGTCCATAGTGCCTATTTTATATTTTATGATGTTAATAAATAGGAAGGTAACAGAGAAAAAATTCAGGCTCAGATAAATACAGGGGTGAATCATGTAGCAGAACTGTGAGAGATAATAACTAAACTGAACATGATAGCATAAGAAAGGAGAAGGTAATAGAAATTTGGGATGCATTCATATAGAAATTCACTTTAAAATCCCACTCTGTAAGAAGACGTCTATGGTATGTCCAAGGCTAATTCCATTTATCAACATAAAAGCTGCTTTTGCAGAAAGAAAGAAAAACCATGGGGCAGGGGAATGTGCAATTAAAACTGAAAACTATTATAGATGAAAACAATTCATGATAATATGTAGTAACCATAAATCATGGTTAATTATGAAGAAATTGTTTTCCTATATATGGTATAGATATAAAACACATACTGGATTTTTGTTTCCATGTAGGAAATTTTATGCTTTTGTTTTCTTAAGCAGGCAGTTGAATCTAAATAAACAAGAGTAGAGATTTCTTGCTTGTAGTTTTATGTCATAAGTAATGTTTTCCAGTTTGTGCATGAAGTATTGGATGCTATGTGTGCCTCTTTGAAGACATGTTCTGTGCAGTTCCTTAAGTTCCATATGTATTAATTCATTTAGTAACCAGAAGAGGAAATGACCATCCTTCTACTCTTTCTCTTTGTGATTAGAAATAATAGGATATGTTGTGTGAGCATAAAAGATACAAATACCTTTGATTTCTGGCCATAATTCATTGCTGCCCATGTGCTTTCTCTCAGCTTGCTGGAGTTCACTTTATTTGGCCTCATTGTTCCAGATGTTTCACCCATTTGATTACACTTAGTTTTTCTTTCATTTAGTATCAGCTCTAACATTGTTTGTGTAGTGTACACTAATGTTCCCCCTATGCTTACTTGGCTAAATAAATTTAACATACAATACAGCCCCTGTTTTCTTCCTGTTACTTTTGTTTCTTTTGAACAAACAGTATACTCTTATCATGGGATTTATTCCATTGGCTTTCCATTATTTCTATTAATTTATATTTGCTTATTTCTCCTGATTACAGCATTAGATATAGGCAAAAAAGATCTCAATTTTTCATTTTCTTTCTGATGAGCATCGTTTATTAGCAAAGTGCCATTTTACAGTGATGTCATTGTTTAAAATCAAATTAACTTTAAGTTGTTGAAATTATATTTTTAAGATGGCCCCTAGCTGACAAATCTGCCCTCCCTCACAGTAAATCATATGGGGGTGGTAAGTGTTGTTACTTTTGCATTCCTTATTATTTTTGGAATTTCAGAATTAATGTTAAACAGTTTGCTTTTGTATTGATTTGGAGAAGTCATGGAGCTGTGACATTGAAATTGATATTGCAGTTATTGATGGGCTTTCTTGCCCTAATGCTTACCAAGGCTTATGGGGATGGGGGTGTTTCAGTCCAATTAGAAATGGAGAACACTAGAGCTTGCTATTTTCTTTGGAGCTTGTCTGCCTGTGTTTCTATGGCAGTATTGTATCTGATACTATCGAGTTAGCACTTGATCACATAGAACAGGGCTTTTCAACCAGTGGTACGGATACCATCTGTGGTACATTGGCACCTGGCAGGTGGTACGCGATCATCCTAGAAAAGTAGCGGGGAGGGGAATGAGCTGAACCGGTGGTAGCACCGCACAAGCCTGAGTGAGAGATTGCTGGAGCTGCAGGGCTGTCAGAGCTCAGCGGAAGTGCCAGGATCAGCACTTCTTTGGAGCTATTAGGGCTCAGCGGAAGCACCAGGATCAGCGCCAGGCTCCAGCTGGAGCTCGGCGCTAATCCTGGCACTTCTGTTGAGTCCAGAAGAAGTGCCAATCAGCTGGAATGTTGCAGCATCTCCAGGGTCTTGTGATTTACATTCAAATGCTTGGTAACCAATTCATATTTATGGTGGTCACAGTGTCCCAGGGTCATGTAAAGTGACCAAAACCTGCTGCAACCACCCAGCAGATGGGGGAATAAAAACCAAATACCCCCCACCCCATCCCCACTACCAATCCTCAACAAAATGCTCACAACAATGAAAACGTCGGACAGGAGGAAGAGCGCCGCCAGGCGGGCAGGCAGGTGTCTTGCTTGGCTGTGCCTTGGGGGGCACTTTTTTTCAGTGCCATTGTAACTTCGAACAGTCACTAAGCGAACTGTTGTAAGTCAAGGACTACCTGTACTTAATCACTTTTTTCTTTTTCTTTCTTTCTTTTTTTTTTTTTTTTGGTCATCAAGTTTTTGACACCTTGTTAGGCAAGTGGTGGTACTTAGATATTGCCATATCCTAAAAGTGGTACAATGGGTGAAAAGGTTGAAAAGCCCTGACATAGAACATAGAATTATAGGGCTAGGAGGGGCCTCATAGGTCTTCTAATCCAATTCCCTGCTCAAGACAGAAAATCTTCTACTATCCAAGTCAAATGGTAGTCCAATCTATTTTTGAAAACCTACAGTGATGGACCACCCACAATTCCAGGAGACAAGCTATTCCATTGATTAATTGTTCTCACTGTGAAAAAATTTCTCCTTACTTCTAGATTGGATCTCTCTTTAACAAGCTTCTTGTCCAGCCTTCTGGTGCTTTGGAAGGTTTGATGAGTTCACTTTGATTATGCTTTGATGAATTCCAGCAGCATAGTTCCAGATCACTTTCAGAGACTCTCAGAGGTGGTGTCTGGTTTTTTTTATGCCCAGAAAAGTGAAAGAACATGAAAGAATAGAGAGATGGGAGTGGCAAAATCCAAAGGAGAAAGTCCTGTGAAACACAAAATTTGAGACTTTTGATGGACTGTGATTTGGGGGATTTTATAGATTTTGGTGGTGAATTTTTGAAAATTGGAAGCTTTACAAGAAAGATGATGATACAAAGTTGACTGGAGATGGAAGCTTTTGTGGCTTGAAGAATTAAAAAAAGAACTAGACAAGGCAGAACAACAAAGAAAATGGGAGTCTGCTGGATCTGTTCATTAAATACAGTTTATAGTAACTGATAAGTTAAAATTCCAACTTCCACTTATTTTGTTCTTCAGCTACTTAGTAACCTAATTATCATTACTGCTCCATACTGCCCATTAATTCAATACTGTTATAAGGACAAATAGAAAACCAATAAAAAATTAACACTGATAATGGCTTGTAAAAATGCAATTTTTACTGCTGTGTAATCAATGCATGTTCATGACAGCTCATGGCAATACAATGAAGTCTGACTAGTTGAATCATTTTTTTAATGTACAGTTTGAACAGTGTTGTCTTGCATAGCTAAGTGCAGGTCTTAAGGCATAATATGTTGTTTTTGACAGGTGCCTGCCAGGGATCTTCAGTGCTGTCATGCATAATATAGATTCCAACCAAATCAGGAAGGCTTAGGAAACTTACTTCTGGCCACTTCTCATTAAATTTTTGACTGTGGCAAGGAAAGAATAATGATTAAATCTTGACGAGAGATATTTATATGCGAAGCGTTTGACAGAATATAGAGGGTTTTTAAAATAACAAACATATAGCATCTATACACATGTCAGCATTGTTTTTTCTGAGTGAAGTCTAAATATAATTTTCCTTATTAAATAATGAGTAGAATTACAATCATGTAAATAGTTTTTATTACAGTGCATAATCTTTTATCATTTTTTTCAAGTGCTGTTTTTTTCTGGGGCTAGAAATAGATGGTCTTTACCAAGATATTGCTGTCCAATCAAATAGGGCCCTTTTCTTTCAGATGTATGTCCCTTGCTCCCCAATTGCCAACAAATGTTGATAGATGTGGTTCATCAATATCTAATTTTGGTAAATTCTGTAGAACTAAGCAGGAAAATAATATACTTAAGAACCTTTGTTGACAAATGTGGTTCCTAATGTAACTCTTAATTTATTCTAGTAAGTCATAGTATGCTGCAGTATTTTCAAACTATTTCACTGAATACCAAATCTAAATATTTGAATAATGACCTAAGGATTTGGGGCAGCGCAGTGGCTTAGTGGTTAAGACGCTGGGTTTATTGGCTTTGAAGCCAGCAGCCCAGGTTCAAGACCCAAGTGTCTTGCAATGGGGTGAGCTCCTGTCCTCACTCCAGCTCCTGCCAAGCTAGCAGTTTGAAAGTATGCAACCACCTTGTTTTGAAAGTAAGCACTCTGTGATGTCATGCTGGCCACATGACCATGGAAATGTCTTCGGACAGCGCTAGCTTAATCGCCTTGAAAGATGAGCATTGCTCCCTATAGTCGGCAATGCCTAGTAGAGTAAAATCCACAGGGACTTCTTTACCTTTTTTCTTAAGGATTTGATTGATTTCCACATTCCTAAAGAACTGGACCTCCCAGGATCAATTAATAGCATTTGCGAAAAAGAAACAATATAGAAAGTATAAAGAAACACTCAACTATAACTTAATAAGAATAGAAAGCATAAATAATGATTTAGAACAACAAAACTGCCCTGTTTAAAGCCAGGCAAGGACAGAAGAATCCATAAATGATTTTATTTTAGCATGGAATACATTAATATGATGAACAGAATTATATATCTTATGTAAAATATATCTAAAAATCTAACTTCATACCAATGTTTGCAAAATATAATTTCCTTTTAATACATGTTTGAAGAGAGTTAAGGGTTAGTATGATTTTGGTTATTGTATAATTAGTAAACTTAAATAGATTATGTTTAATATGTTTGTATAACCCTGTACTTGGCTCTGGGAAGTCGGGGTGGGGGGTGGGGGGTGGGGGGAGGATGGGTTGAAGTTTAAGTAGTTCAGATAAGTAGAAATAGTTTTATTGTATATAATATTGATGTTTTAATTTGGAGAGAGGAATTGCTTGGACATTTCCCCTGGACCGCATCCGAAGCGAGAAGATAGAAGAAGGGGAGAAGCAAGTAGGAAGGTTGAGGAGAAGGAGGAGAGGAGGAGAGTGAGGAAGAGGAAGAAGAGGGAAAGAGGCAAGTTGGTTAGAGGGTGGATGCGGTTTGGGGGGAAATGGGTGAGCAATACCGAAAGTTGTGTGTATCAATTTGTTTCATTTTTTATCTGAAGTATTTTTATGAATGTAATGTATTGTAAAATTGAAAATAAAAACTTTTTACAAAAAAAAAATACATGTTCAGAAGAATATGTGAATTGGATATGCTGATGGCTTTCTAATCTGATTGAATATGAGTTATGAGTTATTTATCATTCCTTATTATATCAGTGTGTTTAGATGACTCATCAGCCTAAATTATGTCTATTTTGAAAAACGTGTTGTTTTACAAATCCAAATATGTATAAAAATGATCATTGTTTGAGAGATATTTCCTTACCAAATCCCACAATGCCTTCAACAATCGCAAAGATTCTAATGTACTTTCCTAGAGAACCTAGAAAAGATTCCATGGACGAAAACCCTAAAGGGGAAACCAACTCAAGAAGCGTGGGGAACTCTGAAAAATATGATCATAAAAGCCCAGCCCACCACAATACCACTGGAAAAAAAAAAGAAATTCAAGAAGAAACCATCATGGCTGCACAAAGCTCTCTCTGACAAACTAAAAGACAAAAAAGACAAATAGAAAAAATGGAAAGAGAGACACATAACTAAGGCTGATTATCAGCAGACAGCCAGAACATGCAAAGATGAAGTCAGAAAAGCAAAGACTCAGAATGAACAAAGACTTGCAACAGAAATCAAGGACAATAAAAAAAGTTTATTTCAACATATTAATAACAAGAAAAAGTCAAGGAAACTATAGGTCCGCTAAAGAGAGAAGACAGAAAGGAAGTAACAGGCAGCAGGGAGAAAGCAGAGCTGCTTAACTCATTCTTTGCATCAGTCTTCACACAAAAAGAAATTGTAGCCGAACATAACCAAAAAAACTACTGCAAAAGACAAACTAGAAACAAAAATTAAAATAAGCAAGAAAATGGTAAGAGAACACATATCCGACCTTGATGAACATAAATCACCGGGATCCAAAGATTACATCCTAGAGTTCTGAAGGAGCTGGCAGATGTTATTTCAGAAACATTGCACCATATCTGTCAAAAAATCCTGGAGCATCGGGAAGTACTTGAGGATTGGAAAAGAGCTGATGTTTCCATCTTCAAGAAAGAAAGAAAAAAACAGACCCAGAAAACTGCAGACCAATCAGTCTAACATCAATACCTGGGAAGATCCTGGAAAAGATAACCACAAAACAGAGCTACGAACAGCTAGAAGCAAACAAAGTTATAACTAGTAGCCAGCATGGGTTTGTTAAAAACAGATCATGTCAAACCAATCTTACTTCATTCCTTGTTAAAGTGACTAAATTAATAGACCAGTGAAACACTGTGGACATAGTATACTTAGATTTCAGTAAGGCATTTGACAAAGTAGACCACAACCTGCTGCTTAGTAAACTAGGTGGGATAGACAACATCAACACCAGATGGATCTGTAGCTGGCTGACAGACTGTACTCAGTGAGTAGTCCTCAATGGTATTACATCCACATGGAGATAAGTAAGCAGTTGGGTACCACAAGGCTCCATCTTAGGCCCAGTATTCTTTAATATCTTCATAAATGACTTAGATGAGGGAATAGAAGGAAATTCATCAACTTTGCAGATGACACTAAACTGACAGGAATAGCCAATACCCCAGAAGACAAGCTCAGGATCCAAAAAGATCTTTTTTTTTTTAATTGAAAATTTTTAAGTTTTACAAAACAATTCCCTTCCCCGAACCCTCCCAACCCTCCCCTACCCTCCCCCGACCTTCCCAGAGCTGAATATAGGCTTAATTTAAAAAAATGTTTAAAAAATCTTAAGACACATATAAACCATAAGCAAATCTAAATACATTAATTAAACAAATTATAAAATAGTTAACAACAATATATATATAAAAAAATACCAGAAGAAAGGAAAAAAGAAACAGAAAAAGAAGAAATCAAATAAAAAGAAAAATAAAAAGAAAATTAAAAAGAAATATCTATAAAATATCTTAAATTTTAAATATAAGTTATTCAAAAACTAAGTAGTATTTTTTTATATCCAACTTATATTGTATGAAATCTATCCATTTTTTCCATACCAAAAAATACCTCTCTTGCGATTGATCTTTCAAAAAAGCCGAAATCTTTGCCATTTCCGCCAGATAAGAAACTTTAAGAAACCACTCTTGCAAAGTAGGCAAAGATTCCTTCTTCCAACATTGCCCTACTAACAACCTGGCCGCTGTAATTAAATTTAACATCAATATAGTCTCTTTACTATCACAATCAGGAACAATACCTAACAAAAACAATTGTGGGGTAAATTTTACCCTTCTTCTAAAAATTCTTTGAATATTCCACCATATCTTAATCCAAAAAGCTTTTATATTTTTACATGACCACCAGATATGATAATAAGTAGCATCCAAACATCCACATCTCCAACATTTAGGCTGCAAGTCAGGATACATACGAGACATTTTTTGTGGATCAAGGTGCCATCTATAAAACATTTTATAAAAATTTTCCCTTAAATTTTGGGCTTGTGTAAATTTAACATTCCTCACCCAAATAATTTCCCAGGTATCTAATAGAACCGGTTCATCAAAATTTTGTGCCCATTTGACCATACATTCTTTAACTAATTCTACTTCTGAATCCAGTTCTATTAACACCCCATAAATTCTCTTAATATGAGTTCGTCTTTGATCTTTTATTTGTTTTAGCAAATTCTCATCTTCTCTAAGCAAACCCACATTACGATCTATCTTCCACCTCTCCACTATTTGTCTATAATGAAACCATGAGTAAATAATATTTTCTTGTGTTAGATCTTCCAAAGATTTTAATTGCCAGTTTTTACCATCCCATCTAAGTAATTGTGCATAAGAAATGCTATCCATCTTGACTCCTCTCCTTATCCCTTCTATCTCATGCCACGGTATGGCCCATAGTGGAATTTTAAAATCACTTCTATAATATTTCTTCCAAACCCAAAGTAAAGAAATCCTTATAATATGAGATTTAAAAACCCTATCAACCTTTTTATTAAAAATTAAATAGGCATGCCATCCAAAAAGTAAATCCCAACCCTCCAAGAGGAGTATTTCTACATTTGTTAAATTAACCCAATCACTAATTAATGTTAAAGCCACAGCATCATAATACAATTTCAAATTCGGTACCTTGAGTCCACCTCTCTCACGAATATCTTGTATAATTTTAAGTTTTACTCTTGGTTTTTTCCCTGCCCAGATAAATTTATTGATACCTTTCTGCCATTCATTTAAATTAACCTCATTCTTTAAAATAGGTATCATTTGAAATAAAAAAAGAAACTTTGGCAGAACATTCATTTTAATCGCCGCAATTCTTCCCCAAAGAGATAATTGCAGCTTCTCCCAATTTTCCAAATCTCTTTGTATTTTGACCCACAGCCTTTGATAATTATTTTTATACAATTTTGCATTAGAAGCAGATAAAATAACCCCCAAATATTTTACCTTATTAACAACCTCAAAATCTGTCAACTTAACCAAGGTCTCCTTATCCAAATTAGTCATGTTTTTAGGCAATATTTTAGTCTTATTATTATTAATTTTAAAGCCCGAAACCTGTCCATACTGATATATCAATTGTAATAACTCTACTACAGAACAAGAAGGTTGAGATAAAGTAACAACCAAGTCATCTGCAAAAGCCCTTAGTTTATATTCTTTTTTATTAACTTCTATTCCTTTTATTTGCTGTGATTCTCGAATTTTAATCAGCAAAATTTCCAAAGTTAAAACAAACAGCAATGGTGACAATGGACAACCCTGTCTAGTCCCCTTCTCTATTAGAAACACCTCTGACAAACCCCCATTAACTATGAGTTGTGCCGTTTGCTTTTGATAAATAACACAAAGAGCTTGTAAGACTTTTTCTCCAAAATTCATTCTCTCAATTAATCTTAACATAAATTGCCAATTCAGCTGGTCAAAAGCTTTTTCAGCATCTAAGAATATCAATCCTGCAGAAACCTGATTGTTTTTATCTAAATATTCTAATAAATTAATAATTTGTCTAACATTATTCTTCATATACCTTCCAGTTATAAAACCCGTTTGATCCATATGTATTACATGATGCAAAACCCTCATAAGTCTATTAGCTAAAATTTTCGAGAAAATCGTATAATCTACATTTAAAAGAGATATAGGTCTGTAATTCTTTGGTAAAGTAAGATCTTGATCTTCTTTTGGAATCAAGGATATAAAAGTTCTACCCCATGACGGGGGAATCTCTGAACCCTGTAATATATTAAAAAGCTCCTTTAAAGGTTGAATCATCTCTTGTACCAAGGTTTTATAATAGATAGATGTCAATCCATCCATACCCGGTGCTTTACCTAATTTTAATTCTTTAATTACTGTCTCAATTTTCTCACTAGTAATCAGATCATTAATTTCTTGTTTCTGATCTTCTGTTAGTTTAGGAAAGTTAGCTTCTTTTAAATAATTATCTATATCTGAAACCTGTACTTTAGTACTCATGTATAATTTTTGATAATAATCTAAGAAAGATTTCTTAATCAACTCCTTCTGATATACCAATTTACCATTATAATTTATTTTATCTATAGTTCTCTGTCTCTGCTTCTTTCTCAATTGATAAGCCAACCATCTCCCTGGTTTATTGGCATTACAAAATGTATTTTGTTTCATATACAATAAATTAGTTGCAGTTTGATCAGCCATC